CTTTCTTCCTTCCTTCCTTTCCTGAATAAAAACACATGTTTAACTTATATAAGCTTCCTTCCTTCCTTTCTTCCTTCCTTCCTTTCCTGAATAAAAAACATGTTTATCCTATTTATCCTGATATATAATCTGGTTGATCCCGATCATAATTTGAGTTTGATCCTGATATGTTTTGATACCCATGCCCTCATCTCGGCCAGATTCATCTGTCTTTCTTTGCAGTTATGCCATCTACTGTCACCAACATTGGTCAACATTGCAAAATCCTCTACAGTCTCTTGTAACTTCGCCTGGATCATCTCATTGATGCCATCCATCCCACGGTTCTCCACAAAGAAGCGCCGATGGAGCTCCAGCCTTTCCATGTACAATTAAAAGTGCATAAATGTGCCGTAATGCACACAATGTACTTGTTCACTACATCAGGTGTCATGTTTGTATAATGAGCTCAATCACGCATATATAAATTGGCCCATGGGTGGTAGAAGACTGGACAAAGAGGGGTAAAGATCGAGGTAGTCATATAGTGAGTGCTGAGTACATGGACATGGACCTGTGCATATGTGCAAGAACTACTGAGCAAAACACAAGGGTGCCCCTTAAGCCAACAGCATGGCAGTGAGGCGAGCTATGGCACTTTTGAAAATATGCTAAATGTTCCACTCTCCAACACAGGGCATGCCCCACTTTCCCAGCAGCCTCCGCCACAACAAAATATACGAGTACATTTCAAGGCCGATGCCTTCATCTTTGAAACCATCCAACACGACATGGGCGATCTCTACCACAGAACCCATCATGTGCTTGGTTTCAAGAAACGGCCTCAGAATGGAATGCAGGACCCCTGGACCCCGTGACATGTTCCTGGTCTCCCTGAAACCTTCGGTCGATGCGGCGATCTCTGGGTGTCCTCGCACTGCCTCACGCCGGGCCGAGGCACCACGAGAGGAACACCTGGAAGCGCAGCCGGGCTTTGCCGGATGGAAGGGATGACAGGACCGGTCAGGGCAGGATGCGCAGGTGAGGCAATTGGAGCATCACTTGGTTGAGAACACCTTTAAATACAGGTAGATGATAGATATATACCTTTCAAAGCACCAGCACTTGCACCACCCTGCTCAACCATTGAAAACGCTTTGTGGCCAACCTTGCTGATTCAGAAGTCCATTGATGTTCTACTCACTTGCGAGGGGAAATGTCTGAGCGCCAGGCCAAGTAGGCTCCGCCATGCCTTCGGCAGAAGCGAGCACCCGCTGAAGAGCCAAAGCAGCAGGAGCAGGATGGACACGCTGCTTGGCAGCCGAACCGTTGCTGCCGCTGCCAGCAAACACAAAGCGAAGGCTCACACTCGCTTTAATTAGACCTGTGTAGCTGCTTCTGTTGTTTGTATTAAAGTATATTAAGTATATACAGTATATATCTGTTTCGAATTCGAACGGACCTGCGTTTTTTTGGAGGCTCAATGGTGAGACCTCGTCACTCTGCCCACCACAAAAACCAAACCAAATACACAACTTCAACTCTGTAGTCTGTAGACAGCAGTTTTGACCCGGGCCGGGAACCCCCAATAAAAACATACTTAATAAGCACCAAACATCACCGGTCGCACACACAACAAGTATTGATCTCGTTGCTTCGAGGAAGGCATATACAGTATTACGGTACAGGTATGCATATATAATTATATACAGTACTTGAATCAAACAATACTGCTGGATTGAATTGCAGTGGGCACACTAGTTTTGTTCGTGACACCACTGCACACGTGAAGTGAAGTGCCCATAGTGGCCTGCCAGTGTGGCATCCAGGAATCCAGAATTGTGGTTTTTCTGTATGAATGTGAAGTAGTTTAAGCCAGCTTTCTATTAGATCATCATCCCTCAATGCCAGAAACAATCCACCAGGCCCCTGTTGACGTGTTTGAAGTCCGGCAGCAGCTGAAATCCAAAATGTCCCTATCCGCCTTTTAGCATCAATAACAATAGATTTATCAAATGGCCGTTCTAGGTCCAGGCTCTCCATAGCTCCCATCACTCATCCTCAAACTCGCTCGGGTCGCCGTAGCAGCGGTTCGTCATTTTCCACTCACTTCACCAGCGAGGCCAATGATCCAGCAGCTTTCGATGCGATCTGCAGGAGCTTCTGCTGGAGACTCCTCGAGAAGAGCGGAAATATCGCAAGAACACCCTCATGTTTTGTGGTCGCCGGTTCGGGACACCGCACTCGCCAGATTTGGGGCTGGGCTGTGATGCTGCAAGCAAGCCTGTAAGCCACCAGTCCACATTCAATGATAGCGACAAGTACAGCCAAATTAAATTGTTCCGATGCAAGTATTTAGAAAAAAACAAGGAAGCCGACATTCAAAAGATTTGCAGCGGTGGTGTCTTGCATTCCTGTACATGTGCTTTCTTGGGTGCCGAATCTGTCAGATCGGGGGACGCAAAGTAACAATTAAAACCACATGGGAAGCGACCGAACTCTTCTCTGAGAGTACCTCTGTCCACACCTCTCAAAACATCTCACAAGAAAATGGCATCAGATTGCCAAAGCACTTGGCTTAACATACACATTCGAACATTCAATGCCCCCTTGTGAACCTGAGAGTTCGCGACGGATCAACAAGTTCAACCCCTGGCTGAGCTGCTGGCATCTGCGTCTCCGCCCTGGCTGTTTCGATCAGCTTCTGCTGCTCTTGGACCGATCTAAGCCTCGTTCGTGGCGGCAGGATGGCGGCAACGTCGTTCCAAGCACTTGAACATGTTCTCATGATGCATCGCAGTCCAATGCAGCAATGCAGATTCGAGGAAACCATGAGAAACCTTATTTGCCAGCATTTAAAACATCAAACCAAGCCTCAAATATTGGAACTTCGGCAAGCTATCCGCACTGAACCAACTGATCCATTGGATGAGCCAGATTCACTGTCTACTCATTCACAAGGCTGAGCCAAAAACTCCAGTGAACAGTCATCAAAAGAGGTCTGTTTGTTTCCCCTATGCTTGTTGTGACCTAACACAAAGCCCGCACAACTGCTTGCGCCGGTGTGAAAGGCAGCTTCCGCAGAGCGAGCGTGCAGCGTCCGCAGAAAGTTCTGATATCCAGACGCAGACTACAAAAGATTGACGATATAAAACGGAACTCAATTGAAATGAAATCTCTTATTTGAGACCAACCCTTGTAGCAGCAAATTCAGCTTCTCTCAAGCAACGGCGCCGTCTTCAATATTATACATATATATATAGTTATTACAGTAGTTCTTTTTTATAACAAGGCAGCCCTTCTCCACCCGAAGGGCACCCCTTCCACTTCCACCCAAACCAGGCAGGCTGCTGAACAGTCCACACTGCAAGCACATACATTCAAACTTCAACTCAAACTTAAACAATCGAGACTTGTTGCAGGCGAGTTTGTGTGCACCCTGGCCGTATCCAGGCCAACCCCAGTGTAAAACTCCTGATCATGCAGTACAGTAGAAATACTGCATGACGCTGCTTCAGAGCACTGACTGGACTTCTTCTAGCAACTTCATCAGTGCTCATGGCCAAAGTGGGGAATGACGTAGTGGGTCACATGACCATAGCTGGCTTCTACCCATCGCTCCAGTTGTAAGTTATATTATTGCTTCCGTCCATCGCTCTGCCAGCTCATGGCTGCGAGCCTAGGCACACCAATCCATCTCGTCAAACCATCCAAATGTTGCTGTACAAATGACATACAATGTCCAAGGACCCTGGGTGGTCAAGGTGCTGCCTGGTCTTGGTGATGGTCTGGTACTGCATTGTGGTGTGGCAGCCGATTCGATGGAGGCGAGGACCAGGTGTACTGCCAGTTGTCCATGCCCTGTCGCACTCAAAGGCATCGGGGTCCAACATCACTTTGTGTGCAATGACTTGAGGTGGAGGAGGAGGAGGAGGAGCACGAGGACGAGCAAGCAGGAGCACTGTGTGGTCCACTTCACATCCTTTCCGTGGTAGTAGTGCTGGTCCACGTTGTGCGACATCTGATTGCAAATTGGCAAGCGAGTTCTTGTAGCCTTGGGATCCACTTCATAACAAACTCCTCCGAGGCCACGTTCTTCAAACCAACAGGTGCGGAGAAGCCATGCGACTTCTCGTTAACCACTTGAGTCAATGACGTTTTTTACATGTTTTCCCCCCACTGTTAATGCAATCTTCACCATCCTCATGCCTTAATTAAGGGAGCACCACCGTCAGGGTACCCCAGAATAATTGTTTATATATTATTCCGCTATGCCGCATGCCTCGACCTCATTTCGTGAAAATTATTCTGACCGGGGGCGGTCCCCAGGCCATCTACACGACGTCGCGCGACTTCCCTCTCCGCACCTGACCACCGAACGCTGCGCCACGGCGATGCCTGCGCAGAGATAAGGAACCCTGGAATCCCCAAGCCTTGAGCCGTTGGACATCCCCGGTCCCCAAATGTCCCCAATCAGTTTTGATGTGAACCATGCAGAACCTTGGCATCACAGGCGGGTTCCAGCCTTCAAGTTCAAGCTAGTTGCGACATGTTGCAACAGGCAGAGCAACGGTCAAGAAAAGCAGGATGCCAAATGCATCCAAATGCACCATTCAACCTCACCAAAGTTGTTGCGAAGGGGCTGAGGCCGGCGGAGGCTGGCTGAGACACGGCCAGCCTCTTCCACTTGAGGTGTTTCTAGTTCATCCACCCGTCCACCCGTCAACGGGGCTGAATGCAACTCTGGTCATGCAAAGCCCCAAAGGCCTGTCTTTCGCTTGGATCCTTGCAGCAGGCTGCCGGAAACCTGCCAGGGCAATCAATGTGACTGGCTTGCAGCGTAGCGTGGAACTTGTGGGGCTACAAGCTATTGAAGAAGTATCCATCCTACCTCTACGCCGAGATGTGAGCGAGCATGTCACGATTCTGAACAGGAAGGCTCCAAAGAACATTGGTGTTGCGGGAATGATTTGCTAGTGGGATGACTTACACAAATGAACGGTCAACCAAGGACCTGGCTGGTCGTCAAAACGCTTCAGACCCTCCGTCTGCCCGTCGCAAAAGTTTTCATTGCGCTCCGCAACTGGTTCGAAGTTGTTTCAACGACTCTGGTGGCAAAGCATGCAGGCGCCCTTGCAGCGAAGGCCGCCTCGACTAAGAAACATACAAACAAAGAGAGAGAGAGAGAGGGAAGGAGGGAGGGAGGGAGGGAGGGAGGGCGAAAGAGACATTGCAACTTGTTCTCCATCTCACTGTGCCTTATGGCAAGAGCCCGGGTTTCTCAGAAACTACTTGCAAGGAGGAAGTTGGAAGGTGGAAGAGGCTAGAGGTGCCCCCAAACACTGCCACCGTGCGCAAAGAGCGAGAGCCAGCGAGAGAGAAAGAGAGAAAGAAGGAAAGAAGGAAAGAAAGAAAGAGGGAAGGAAGGAAGGAAGGAAGGAAATAAAGACAGACAAACAAACAGAAAGAAAGAAAGCAAGGAAGGAAGGACGGATGGATCGATGGAGGGAGGGAGGGGAAAGAAACCTGCCCCAAAGCTCGAGCAGTGCTCTGCACACATGAAATGGATCAAACATGAACATGATCAAGTATCTCCCCAAATTGGAGCCACGATTTCCCACTCTTTGAGGTCCAGGTCCCCAGATTGATCTCACCAAGCTTCAAATCCACCTCTGTCTCCTCAGCAGTGAGATCGGTGCCTTTCCAGAAGGCCTTCGGGTCATCGACCACAGAGCTCATCGCTGCGATGCCCTAAGCTCGTTTGGACGAGTCGTTCACTGGGATCTCAGTAAACGGCTCTGTGGACGAGGGAATGGGCCCTGAGCTCGTTTTTCCGTCTTGACGTGAAAACTACATGATAGACACTTGACAAACCTCTCAGCCCGGTGAAATCCACAAACATCAAACACATGAAACATCCCGAAACCATGTCCAACCTGGCCTCAATCTCCCCAAAGGGATGCTGCAATAGCTGCTGAAGCGCTCGCAAGAAGTCGCGGACTTTGGATCCTGCGGCTTCACGGCTTCACTTGGACCCCACACAAAGCATGAAGGCGCACTGAGAGGCATGACAAGCCCTCTAGCTGCATAGGCTCCAGTTGCATTCCGTCAGTGCCTTTAGACAATCTTAGAAAGCACCGATCTGACTAGTGATGACTGTTGTTTGCTGCCGAGCGCGTCTTAAAGCTTGAAGCTGCTATATAGATAGATTTGTATTTTGCCCCCCCCATAGCCTCCCAATCACCAAATCCCAACCCAAGAATCCAGACCTGACGAGCAAGCAATCAAGCAAGCCACAGGCTCCCGTGGAGACAAAGAGGGAACCATAGAGAACCCATGCAACTGGCAGACTTTTCGATGGAGAGCTCGGCCGGGAAAAAGCACAAACCACTGGGATTTCACCGTCCGAGTGCCAAGCCAAAACACTGCAGATCTCACAGGTCCGTCAAGACCACCTAGAGAATCATCCAAGCAATTGCCCCACTCATACGACTCATACGCATGCAAATTCCTGTCGTCCAAGCGCAACACATTTCACCGTATCAGACACCCATGCTTACTCTTGCTTCTCGTGAGGTCTCCCAACGACCGGCCCAACGACCTCGTCTCAACTCGGCTCTGTTTGGACCTCCTGGCCTTGCTTCTTGAGCTCCACCAGCTTGGCCGCCTCCATCAGCACGTGGCTGCGCAAACTGAGCCGCGGCACGGCCGCGCGCAAGGCGTCGGGATCCTGGGTCGCGCACGGGGATTGGAGGAGTGGTCCGGTTGAATGTTGAATTCAACCTAAGAGCGATGGCCTCCAACCTACTGTTGAATTCACACGCAGGGAGGAGATGCAACGCTTCAATAATCTTCAATATGCTTCAATCAAAGTGACCGTCAGTTCTGCGCAGTAGATTCACAGCTGTCTCCAGACCTTTGCACTCCCTCAAGCAACAATGGAAGTGTATGGAACATAGCGCCGTGGGAGACCGTCTTCCTGTAGAAAAGGGGTGCAAAGGGTTCTGTTGAGCTTTGTCTCTTTTCTGGCAGTTCCGCAAGGTATTGGCACAAGGAGGTTCGCAACAGCCTCCTGAAATGAACGGTTGCCGCTCCCAGCTCAGTTTTGGCAAAGTGCTGAAGGGTTGCGAGACGTTTGGTGAAATAAGGCTGGAGCACTGGAAGAGCGGGTCTGGGAGTGGAGTGGCAAGCGATATGGAATTAGAGAAGGTCTTGGACTGAGGCGTTGAAAGCCACTCTAGCATACCTAATTCAAGGCTCTGGTCTCAGCGCTTGCAGCTCTTGCAGGAACTCTTCCAGCCCTGCGGTGCTATTGGCACCTGGCACTGCTGGCTGTCAGCGACGGGATCTTGCTGGGGACAACCCCACGGGTGAGCATATTATCGGATTGGCCTAGGGTCTAGAGGCTAGAAAAAAAGTTCTGCAATGAGACTTCCGGATATATAAAGAAAACCAAGTTGAATACAAAGCAAACCCTTGTTCAAGTTAGAGTCCTGGTGCTCCCTGTATGCTGCCTCCTCAAGAGAGAAGCTGCCAAACAAAAAGGTGATGCCAGTACAATAACACCCCAAAACATCCAAAATCAACAAAATTCATTCTGGTTCTTGGCACAGCCCAACCTATATATAAGCCTACCCGTAAGTCAATCCCACCCCATCAAAGGAATGTACGAAAAGCGGCATTGGATGTTCCTCGGTGCAAAATCAGGCATGGATGGCCTGTTCTCCATTTCAGTGACCTGTAATTTGCGTGTCTGGTTTTTGGCCAGGGGCCTTCTGCACCAGTTTACAGTTTCACCTCGTCAACCAGTCGGCCCTGGCGCCTACAGCCTCGGCGAAGCTCTCGCGCAAGCTCTCTGCGGGAGGGCGAGCAGCGCTCGGAGCCAAGAGCTCGGCCAAAAGGCGGCTGGCACGTGGGTAGTCTGCACCTAGCGGCCAGCAGCTTATCTGAAACCCATGCAGTTCCCAAAGTCATGTCAAGGTTTCGGCGTGTTTTCCCTGCCACAAGCGTTGGATTGTCCTCTGTCTCCGGTAGAGTGGGTGAGGTTGGAGTCATCTTTGGAGGGGTCTTTCAACCTGTGATTGGTGGGGTCTTTCCATGGCCGAAAGCTCAAAAACTCAATAGCAACTTGAGGCCAAGGGGGGGGCGAAAGCTAGCGCTCCAGAATGGGAAAGTGGAGGGCAGCGAGGTAGGAAAAAACACGGCGCTCTTTTTGGAGGCAGTCGCATGGAGTAGCAGAAGGCAGGACGCCTTGCACAAGTTGGGCGGGGCAAACGATTCCAGGTGAAGAGTCCTTTATATGTGGCTCTTTACCCGGATCCTCCTGCGAGAGAAGAGAGAGAAGAGAGACGGAAGGACGAGAGACAGAGAGGAGAGAGAGAGAGAGAGAGGAGAGAGAGATGAGAGAGAGATGAGAAAGAGATGAGGGAGAGATGAGAGAGATGAGAGAGAGATGAGAGAGAGAGATGAGAGAGAGAGATGAGAGAGATGAGAGAGAGAGAGAGAGACAGTGAGAGTGAGAGTGAGAGTGAGACTGAGACTGAGACTGAGAGTGAGAGTGAGCGAGTGCGGCCGCAAGATACGCAACGCTAACCGCATGCCAAAGAGCGACGACAGGACGGAGTCGAACTTGCGAAGAGGGAGGAGGGAGGGAAGGTGGGAGGAAGACAGTTTCAGCCACCTCGTGTGCACCTCAACCCGGACCAACGGTCGTCTTAGGTGCGATCTGCTGTCCGTCGTCTTCCACTTCAAGGATCTCAAGTTGGAGGTGATGCGGCTCCGACCGACCAATGGAGCTACACTCCCAGGTGAAGAGTCCTTTATATGTGGCTCTTTGCCCGGATCCTCCTGCGAGAGAAGAGAGAGAAGAGAGACGGAAAGACGAGAGACAGAGAGGAGAGAGAGAGAGAGAGAGAGGAGAGAGAGATGAGAGAGACAGTGAGAGTGTGAGAGTGTGAGAGTGAGAGTGAGGGGAGTGAGGGGAGTGAGGGGGGGGGGGGGGGGGGGGCTTCGACCTGAAAAATCAGGGGTTAGGATTTGCACCCGATCGAAAGAAACCTTGCTATCGCAAGAGTAACTCCAGCTAGCTTCGCTAGCTTTCGTGACAAACCCAGCGCTGGACAGCAAAAAGGGACTGGCCGGCCATAGATGGGAAGATGGCGCGGTTTCCGCAAGCGGAATGTACTTCTGGTGTCTGGGTGTCTGAGGGCGACTTTGCAAAAAGGTTTGCCATCATTTTTTGCACTGTGCAGCCCCCGAAAACAAGAGTTCATCCTTGCACACCGGAAGAGTTCATCATTTGTCTTCATCATACACTGTGTCTTACACTGGTGTTCGATGAATTGATGGTTGCATGTGTTGTACATCTCCCCGTTTCATCGTACATACAAACCCACACCCCACAAGGTGGAAGGGCTATCGAGGGGCCACGACGGATCGATCGCGAGTTGGTGTGTGGAGGGTGCAAATTTCCTTTTATAATGTAATATATATATATATATATACAATATATATATATATATTATATATATATGGTATACATGATCTTGTCAGTACTACTGGGACTTTGAGATCCGATCATGTGGCCCATGGTGGAGGCCTGTTTGCTCCAGCCATGTGGTCCATTTCTTCACCACGCAGCCAGGACCGCGGTCGGTGCCACACGGGCGACCTGCAGAATTGGCCAAAACACCCCTCGCAGCACATGAAAAACAACTGATTCAAGCAGTTCGCTGGTTGCGGAATGCTCTGGAGCCTAGAACGTGCTTCTGCAACAATATGAATATGAAAGATCAAAGGTCACTATCAAATTATCAAAGGTCACGCTCACTTCCTTCTTTACTTTTACTCTGAGATGCTCTCGCATGCTAAATATGAGCCGCCACACACAACATACACTGTCTCTTTTTTGTACATGAGGTTTGTTCATCTGAACATGGCAAAGGCCTCTGCTGGATGATCTCTTGCGGCTTCTGGCTGCAAGCAAAAACGTCCACTGCCACTTCACCAAAAGCATCCAAGTGTGCGTCTTTGGCAGGACTTTGGGGTCTCTTCGACAAAAGTTCAGCACCTTCTGCTTGTTACGCAAGGGAGAATTTCATCCCATGGCAAAAGTGCCACAAGTGATTAGAGATAAACAGCCCCCTAGCAGTTCCAGGAAAGCCGGAAAGCTCACCCCTCCCTATATATATATATATATATATCTGTGTGTGTGATGGTGTGTACATATATATATATATCTCTCTCTCTCTCCATGCACATGCCATCGCTCCATCGGCCCACTACCCTCTGTCCCCCCGTCTTTCCACCATCCCATGGCCCCGCCCATCAGCTCAGCGACCCGAGGCCAGCAAACCCAGCCGGAGCTCCATTCGCACCACGTAGCAGCGCTCAAAGAGCTCGTCAAAATGCTGCAGCTCCCGCTGTGCCTGCACTTCGGCATAGATAGATAGATAGTTAGATAGATAGATAGATAGGTAGATAGATAGATAGATAGACAGATAGATAGATAGATTAGTAGATTAGATAGATAGATGTGGTCTAAACCCAAAAACTGAAGAAACAAAGGCACCAAATTCTGGCTCTCCAAATCCCAACATCCAAACAACTGACGGGCAAAATACTGCAACTGGGTCCCACACCCGCTTGAGGTCAAGCCACTCTCCTGCGTCGCACTGAGCTCAACAAATCTTGCCGTGTCTTATCCGATGTTGTTGGAATATATTCATGTCTGACCGTGAAAATCCTTCATCAATCTGTGCTCTGTATGCATCCAATGTGTCACATGTACCCTGAAACAGACCTCTGCATTCAAAACTGAACATTCTTCAAAAATGACTTGGTGCTTCACTGGGAACTCCTATGACACCGTATGACACCACACAATCACACCCTCATTGCCACATGGTTCCGCCTGGCTCCGCCCAGCTGGTGGCATCCGGCTCCCGGTCCACCAGGAAGGGCGTCCCCGTCAAAGCGTCACTCAGTCTGCCAGGTGGGGAACCGGTGGAACCCGTGGAGCCCGTGGAACCCCACCCGGCACGTACATGCGCAAACGTGCGCGTTTTCCAAGGTAGTAAGAACTTTAAAACATTTGAATTCACGCCTTGCACTTGCCTGATTGGGAGGAACATGTCGGCAGGGAGGCAAACTCCCCCCTACCTCCCTGCCCCTGGGCCCCCGTTGCTATCCCACCCGCTATTTAGGGTAACAGAAGGAAATCGCACTCAACACACTTGTGTGTTGGTGCCTTTCCTTCTGTTTCTCCTGCCCTACTTCTAGCTACCCGGGCGGTTCAAGACAAAAGTCCCGCTCGCTAACTACTTTCGTTTAACTAAGTGGGCCTCGTCACTACACCTATCTTTCTTTCTTGCCCTTTTCGTTTGCTCTTGTGTTGTTTCTTTTTCTTTTTTTCTAAGGCGTTTTAGGTGGCTAGTCAACCTCCGGCGCGCCAATATTGGCGCTATGTGTGCAAAGTTGTTGCCCTAAAATCGTTTCATGTAAGGGATACAGAGCGCCGATAGCGGCACAGTGTGTGTGTTAACACCTGTCTCTAAGGCTTGTACCTGGTAAGTCTGCCGTAGGTTCCACTAGAAGGCTGGGTGCTACTAGTAGCTTCTGGCCTTACTACTAGGAACCAAACTGAAACAAACACAGCGCGAGTCAAAAAAGAGGCAGGGGGATCACGGACGTTTGGCTTGGCCTGATCCAACGAATCTCCAGCCATTCGTCAGGATATTCTCGAGGGACGCCTTGAGAACGTACCTGCAAAGCCTGTTGAAACTGTTGAATAAGCTGTCCACTGCAGTGCTTTGCACTAATCGACTAGTGACCTGCGAGAAACCTTGTTCAACATCTACAAGTCTATCAACTCTGCCACCTTTCGTTCTTTCAGTTCATCAAGTCAAGGGGGACTTCACACTGATCCTAGCACTTGCGAGCAACCATCCAAGTGTGTGTGTGTGTGTGTGCGTGTTGTTTGTGTGTGTGTGTCAAGCCCCGACAGCAAAGAGCGTTTGGATTTGAGTTGTTAATCATGCCGTCGGAGACTCTCTGACTCTCTCTCTCTCTCTCTCTCGCTCTCTCTCTCTCTCTCTCGCTCTCTATCTGCGGCATATTTGCCGCAAGTGCAGCTACATGTGTGCAAGCAAATATGCCTCAAGTAACCGGGGCTGAGGTCGGGATTCCGTCTCATCTTGTTAGTGAAACAGTTTTCCTTTTCAAACGCCCTGGGCAAAGCTTCATGCATCTGTCTGTGCCAATCATGATTCGCTCATCATATCTCATCATGAAAGATTGGTTGATTCAAGTTTCACCGGATGTTTCGCTCACTGGCTCACTGCACCCTGCCTCTCGAGATTCCACTTTGCAATCTCTGGCTGCGCGCCAAAGGCATACCTCTCGGACACCCGTGTCCAGTGTTGATACCACATGATACTGCATATGTTTCTTGGTGTTTTGGGGTGGGGGCTTGCTTTGACCGCTTCAACTTGACCTAGTCGAACTATATAATATATATATGTGTTGCTGTTGCTTGATATTAATCTATAATTCTAATTACATGTTGTTGCTTTCTTAGTTCTTGCGTTAGGGACCAAAACCGTTTCTCGTCTTTATATGACAGCCAAATTTATATGAAAGCCTCTCCTCATGACATGGCAGAATGGAATCTTGCCTGAAAAAAAATCATGTCAACACACACACACACACATATATATATATATATTATATATATATACACCATCTCACCAAGCATTAGCCAAGAAAAGCACGGCTTTGCGTTTTTCAGTTTGAGCACCGGGCAGTGTCATCAATATGATTGGGAGCCCATCCAGGGTCATACTTCGACAAGAAGCCATAGACATTCCTAGGACGCCGCTCCAAAGGAGCTTCGAATCAAGACTTGCAGCTCGATGCGCCCGTTTCCTCTGCGCAAGCTGTGCCACCTCTTTAGTCCTCTTTATGCTGCTTGGAATGTTGGCATGTTGTCAGATGTTGTCGGTTGGTGCACTATGGCCTTCACTGATTCACATTACTTTTTCCATGTCTACTGTACGTTACAAGGTCTTGACTCGACTATTCTTGATTGATGACCATCACTTCCACGGCATGGGTCAAGCATGGTCAAGCTGTTGGCCCAACGACATGCGCATGCATGCGCATGGGAGGTTCAGCTCTAGCCGATCTAGCCGCCAGCCAAGTAGCAAATCCACCGTGACCCCCAACAAGCTCAGATTGTCGGTGTTCATGACTCCATGGGCGAAGCCCACCTGGGCAAAGCGAAGCCGGAGGCTCGACCAGACTGATCCATGACTCATTGTAGCAGTTCAAAGCCCCAAAAAATAAACGCTCTGAGCTCTGCCCGCAAAAATAATTGTCCCTTCGTGTATACCGTGTATATTCTGCACGTGTTTTCCAGCAAGGTGAGATCTGATCAATATTAACAGACAAAGTCCCAACGTCTCTGGTTTCCACTTCGGGTGCCCAACATCACCCATGATGTTGCCACGTGTCGGCCATCCATGCGGCGACCAATGCCGACGTGCGGTGCACCATGCGCTCCAGCAAACAACGCAGCACCTCTTGACCTGTCAAACCGGACTGATTGACCCCCATTGAGCCTCTCCAAACAAAGCTGAAATATGTCGAATTTCAAGGATGCATGCCATGCATTGGGGTACAGTAAAGGGGGTGTTGCTACAATGTCTACATTGCTGTGGTGCATGTTCATTGAGCCCATCGCTCAGCCGCCATCCCACCATCTGCCTGTGGCCTCAGAGGCTCTTTCAGCACAGCTGGGCGAAACCGCCCGTCCGAAGAAGCACTGCTGGCGCAGGGCGTCCGGGAGAGGCCTGAAACACCCGAGAAGCGGCGAACGGACCACATGCACGAATTGAGGACTGACCCAGAAACCTTCTTCCCGCGGCACCGGGAGTGCTGTTTAAAGCAACATGTCAAGTGTTCAGACTTGTAACGCTTAACGTTGTTTTTATAATAGATATATATATATATTATATTATATATGACTTAATTTAATATGTCAACGGTATGTCAACGGTTGATCCTGGATGGTCCTGGCTAGCAGTTCCATTGAGAATGACCAAGCCCACCCTTGCACGTGATGACCGGAGCTTGAGCACGGTCGACCATCTGTTCCAGGAGATCCCAACCCGTGACGTTTAAAAACCCTAACGGTGGAGCTTGGACGCGGCCACAGTGGACCCACACTTCAGACCGCCCCACAAGGCATAGAGAGGTGACAAGAACCCAAATCCGCACAGCACAGTGCTTCCCAACTGGTTTGGGCACTTGGCGTGTCATTTCGTCACGCCAACCACCATAGATTCAATGATTCACTTTGTTCACTGCGGATCCGCCTCAAGAATTCCTCGCTTCCAGCTTTTCCAGTTCAGCCGTGCCTCAGGCGCTCCAGGTAGCTGCTGGCCTCATCGTGGCTTTCCATCCGCGCGAGCACGGCCAAGGCATAGCGCGCCAAACGTACCAGGCCCGGGACGCCCTGACCTCCCCAGGATGTTCAGCGGTCCAAACGGGCAACGCTTTTGGGGACGTGGATGAAGATCGGGGGGAAGGAGTGATGCCACAAGTGGGAATATCGGAAGATCAATCAAACCATATCAAACAACTGGTAGTTGGGAAAGGAGCCCTTGCTAAAAATGGCGTGGGTTTCTCCCAAGAAGTTGTTGAACCAAAGCAATAGTGCTTGCCACAAGCAGAGATGAAGTCTATAGGTGTGCACTTTAGGTTGGCCGGGTGATGTAAGAAGCTTGCAAAACAATGTTCAACGCAGCCTGGGTCCAGCTTCCTTGACCCTTTTGCGTACGTTATGTTCAAAGGGCTGTCAGAAATTCATTGGCCCAGGAAGGCTCTCTTCAACGAAGGTAGTCATCCGGTAGTCATCTTGATTCATGCCGAAGTCGTAACTATTGTGAGACGCCATCAGGTAGTCACGCCCTCCAATTTGTGAGGCCTGTTGACCTCCGCGTTCCGCGTTCCACCGCCCCGTGCACATGGCCGCGTGCGAGGGATCACGCGCTCGGCCCGGACGGCTCCGAGGGGCGCTTGGCAGCGAGCTGGGCGGATCCAAAGCGCAAAAAGCTGGGCATGGCGCGCAGAGTGATGCCCGGCTTCTTCAAGGACATCTGGGCAGTGCTGTGCCAGTTCACATGGCAAAATGGATGCAATTGCTAGGATTGGCAAGACTTTGTTTTGATTTTTCTGGCTGTTTTTTTGGCACATTTCAGCCGATAATCACACCAAAATTGGAATCCTTACATCTATATAGCTTACCTAGCTCTGCAATTCGAGCCATCTGGGTCCTTTCAAACCCCTGTACTTGTACTCATGTCTTTACCATTCTTTACCCACATTGACTTACCAAACGATCCCATCTCTGCCGGGCCGTCACGCACCTCTCGCACCCGGCCCCGCCTCTCCGGTGTACCACTCGTCGCGCGCCAGGCGGTCCTCCTCTGCATCGCTGCCCAGCACCGCCAGGGTGCCACAGCTTGGGATGCCATTGGACTCCAGGAAGATCGGCCTCGGAAGAGGCCGGAGCCAAAGAAGCAGCAACGAAAGGGGCGAATGGAGTGGGTGGGGTTGTTTCAGGTATACTCTTACATATATATGGAGAGAGATATGTTCATCTGTATATATATATACATAACCCAAAGAATGGGCAGTAATTCTTGGAAGTGTGAGACACCAATGCAACCACCACATCGTTGTCTAGAACCACTCTTTGACAAGGGGCTGTCAGGTTGAAGGGGCATTTCATGGTCCAACCTTGCCAAGTGGGCAGTTGGTAGATCCTTGGCGAAAGATTGACCGATTGCTAGCGATCAAACATGATCAAACCCACATGTTTAGATTTGTAAGTGTACCATGGTGCACCCCTCCACCTTCCTTTCCTCCTCCATTCGCATTGGCAGGTTTGCGGAGCTGCGACTTCATGATGCAAATCCGCAGCTGGTTGTTGATTCACCAGGCGGCGCAAAGAACTCTCGCGCAGCATTTGCAAGGGCAGCACGGCCGTCACCACCCCGGCTGTAGGGTGTCTTGCCGGCGCCTGGGAACTGACGTGACCATACCATTTTCTCATGGAGCGGCGGGTGGAAATGGGATGACTTACCCGTGGATTTCTCCAATGACCCCCCGCAAGATTACAAATCAAAGGTGTCCTTCTGCCCCTGCCCAGTGGTGACAAGGTTTGTGAGACCAAGGGTTCTGTGAGACCCAGGTGCAGTCGGGTGCAACTGGCACTGGGACCGCTTTGGCTAGGCAACTTCCCTGGTCTTGAGTCTGAGTCTGCCTCTATGGCATGAGCAATAGCTAATGCATCTGCACAGTTGTCAATTGTGAGGGATAAGAACTGATGTTCTCGGCATTTCTGTGCTGGTCCTTGTCCTTGCCCATTCTTGTCCGAAACGGCTCAGCCAATTCCACTGTTGGAACAGGAGTGGTCTCCTTGGCTGCCACTTGCAAAAACTAATACAAGCAGACTCTGATTCTGTGACGGAGGCAACAGGAAACAACTTCTGGTGGCCCTGCTCCGAGTCCGAGTGAGTACAGCCCATTGGGGACAAATCCTGGTGCGCCAATGACTGCACTGTGTGGAATCGTGGAATATCAAAACGAGCCGGGGGGGGGCATGATTGGGTGTAAGAACATGTGGACGATAAGTCTGGTAAATATGAGTTCTACGCTTCGCACGCACCGGGCATGATCTGAATTCAAGCTGGCTGTGGTGCACCAACATAGGAAACGCATCTGCCCTGACCCTCATGTGCGGAGAGTGCCCCTTTTTGTGTTGGGTGTCTTTCGTATTTCGTAGGTTCAACAAATAGGCGCCAAGTTAAGATCTCAGAAAACACCATGATGTTCGTTTCAAGCACCTGGCCAACGAGGATTCTGCACTGTAGTCACTATCTTCTTTTGTATTGACACCAGTCCCTGACATGCAACGGAGAAAAAGCTGGGACAGTTTAAAACATGTTGTGATTGGTCATTCTGAAGATCTGAGGTCCCGCTGTGTCCGTTGTCCTGGCCTTTCAGTGAGAGTTCCCAGGGCCACCAGCGGACAGAGTCCTGGTGGGGCGCTGTTATCGGCTGCCAACTCGGCCGCACAGGTGGACGAGTGTTGGAGCCTGGGTGGGGGGTAGCTATCACCACTCCAAGGTTCCATGGCACCATGGGATCAAGCAGATGAGCAGATCTTCTTTTCGAACAAGGCACGGATTCTGGACCAATGGGAACCCAGCCTGTCGTCCCCCACAAGCACTAACGAGGAGTAGTAGGGGCGATGCTAGGTGTGAGATGGTGTGAGTAATTAAAATATACTGAAATGGATATACAGCACATGGTCAATCATATGAGCTGGAACACCCCGTTGGCCTAACTGTGCCAGCTGAAAACACATCACATCACATCACAATTGAGTACAATCACTCGTTGGTCTTTACAGCGAGCTTTGTTCTTGCTTTCGTGCCTTCCGCGTTCCATCAACTCGCTGACTCTTGCTGCTGCATTGGGGACCAACTAAGATGTGCCTCAGAAAGAACATGTTGTTATTGGCGGGGTGCTACCCATCTGCACCCCTTCCACCCCTTCCATCCCGAGGCCCTGGCCTCGGCGATGTGCTGGTCGGGCGCGAAGCCCAGGACGTGGCCCAAGGACATGGCGCGGCCATCGCCCAGCTGCCCGGACCAGGAGCCGAACCTCACGGCCAACTGGGCAGGTACCGTGGGCGACCAAGAGGGTGATCGTGAACATCAAGAAGCAAACAAGTGAGAAACGCTTGTATGGAGAAATTCATTGACAAATTTATTACCATCGTATTGGGCCTTCCACACTTCACTACAGCACTTCGAGAAGTGCAATCACTCACCGGGCCTTTTCCCAAAGTGAGACCTGCATGGAAAGCGTCCTGGAAGGAAAAGTATAGACCCATGACATGCAGTGGGAATTTGAACATCCAAACATGTCCAGGGTGCAGCCCTGACTCACTTACTGTAGGGTCCGAAAGCCGATTCTTTGGGACCCGTACAGCCAGTCCTTTTCTGGTGAACGAGGGCAAAGGTCTGATTCCAAGAATCATTGGCCCAGGATTGCCCCAGTGCGAAGCTTTCGACTGTCAAATCGCGCAGGAAATTCCATTCAATGCACATTGAGAATCCACCTTCTCCAAGACCTCCAATCCTGCCCAGCAACTGATGTCCACCGTATGCATGGGCAAAGGGTTGAACAGTGCTGGGCAATGGAAGCTTGCCACTCAGAAGCTCTGCGAAGATAGCCTTCGGACAAACGCGGGTGGGGGTTGAATTCTTCGTGCATCTTCGTGCTTAATGACACTGTTGCGCCCCATACGTGGGGCACATGGGACATGATAAGGGATGTATTAAAGCAGGCTATGATAGGAGTTGCTCAACCTGAGCAGTATAATATACGTGCTTAGCACGGCCCCGAATTGGCTACGGTGCTACACCCTTCATCATCACTCGTTCATCAAGCGACATTGTTGCTTTGCCTCGTCCACCAGCTCCGGCGCCAACCCCAAGCGCCGAGCCACCTCCGTGCGGGGCGCGCGGTGCTGTTCTGCGGTGACACACTGTCACACCGTCCCTCATTCCTTCGTCCGGATCGGCGAGGATCCAGCCTCCGGATTCAGCAAGGCTAACCGGGCGGATCCCCGAAAGGGCTGGGGCCTCCAGGATCAGGCCGAAGAGGCGCTGGAATCTGGAACATTGATGCTGGAACATATCTCAACTTCAATCAGATTCTGACTTTATCTGATGTTCTTCTGTTAAAGTGGGCAAAAATTGAAATTTGGTCCGATTATGTTGTACCAGTACTTCCTTGGCTGCAGAGAGGGAGAGAGTGTGTGTGTGGCTCAAAACAGTGGGCACCTGGCAGCTATGATTGAAGACCAAGTCTTTGCAGCTGGGCGCCATTCATATCTTTGTTGCTCGAGTCTTAGGAACTGACTGGGTTTTGGACAAAGCAACCACCTAACAACCACCTTTCAACAAAGCGCCCGCTTCCTGAAGGTGAAGTTCGGGGTGACCACCCACGGCATGCTGGAGCCACCGGCCCCGAGAAGGGAGCGGTGAAAAACTCCGCTCCGCACGTCTTCCCCACCTGGTCAGGGATACTGATGCGTTAAAGACCTGACAGCAATATGCAGCGGAACTGGCACGCAAAAGGCTCCCCCTTCCAAAGTGGATCATACAACATGGCCTACGATTCGATCTACTGTCAGATTGGATGAGAATGATTGGCTGGCACAAACGCCTCACTTGAGAGATCAGTGATCTAATCATTGATGAAACTAGTGTCATTCTAGTGTCTAGGTACCTCCAGGGACCAAAAGTCAAACGAAAAGTGGGCCCTAGTCCGAGTCTTAGTCCAACATCACAGTATGCATCTTACGAATGCTCAACGGCAAACACTTGCACAAAATCAAGCAGGTCAATAAGTTTTCGGATGCTTTCAAAACAGAAGGATCGGGATCAGCGATTGCTTCCGAACTTTCTGCATGGTTCCCACCAAACGAAATCAATGGCTCTTCATCTGACCATGCAAGGCTTCTCAAAAGCGGTTCAACATCCGCCTGCCGCGAGCGGCGCGCCGTCTCTGGATCCAGCGGCAGCGCTTGGAGCGTGAGATTCTGAAAGACCAAGGCATCCACCTCAACGCGCGGCCGTCGTTGGCTACAACCACTGTCATTGGCAGGCATTGCACACGAAACCAAGTCTCTCACCATTGAAACGTGTGACATGCGGTTGCAAGTTCAATAGTCATGCCCTTTTTTCTGGGACGTCGATAACACTGTTGTACCTACAATAACCTAATAACCTAAAATTAGTTCAATACATCTACTATATATAATATATCTTGCCGACATTGGACACGCGATTCCCATCGGAGAAACAATTTGGAGGAAGGCAGGGCACATGTATTGACATTGTCCTCACAACCGCTGATTGATATGCGCATTGACGCAATGTTCTGACATTTTTTCTGGCATCAAGATTCCTTGTGAGTGTGTGTTTTTGGTTTGGGGCATCGATTTAAAACAGAAATAGTTGGATGATGTTGGATGTCATATTCTAAGTGTCCATCCCCTATTGTACATCTGCCCAGTGCCCTGACATATTTTCGAGTGATCCCTGATCGTGAAAATATGTCATGTCCTGACATTCTGGCGGGCATATCTTCTATCTCACATTCTATTTGACATGTTATCTGGCATTCTACTTGGCTTCTGGCATTTTATTTGGCATGCTACCTGGCATGTATCTTGAGAAGCTACTAGTAACAAGGGCATCGTACTAGGAGCAAGAAGCTACTAGTAGCTCCTGGCATTTCCACTCGGAACAAGAAGCTACTAGTGACAAAGGGGCATCGCTACTACGTTCTTTCTACCGTTCACAAGTTATCAGGTCTGTGTGTGTGCCTGTGGCATCCAGGCCCGTATGTGCCCACAGTGACGACGAGCTGGAGGGAGGAAGGAAAGAAGGCAGGCCGGATGGGAGGACCGGAGGACGGACAGAAGGAAGTTGCACCTTTGCGTAAAATCCAGAGACCCTCACAGGAGTAACACCAGCATGTTCAAGACATGAAGTCCGTTCTTGTGCCAACGGCAGAGAGCTACCACCTCAAGACTGAATTGTGTGGCTTGGAAGTTCCACAAGAGATGTTGGGCCACAAGCGGTCCCACCCAGCTGGCCTGAACCATTGGATCCACAATATAAGTCAATAGTATATACCCACTACTAGCCCACTACCCTCCCTGGGCTGGGCCCGGCACTGTCCCCAAGCCAACTCCAGCTGTTGCACCCTCAGGCGGAGATGGCAGGCCGCATCGAGCCTTGAGATGATCCAGAGGCAACAAATGCCACCCCTGGAGTGCACAATTCCTCCACATACGCGGGTAGGTCCAGGCCCCGCAGCAATCCATTGGACTCATTAGACAAATTATAACTATTTTAGCTAGAAGATCTAGCTCCTCATTGTATGTTGGCCAAGGACGAATGGTACCGTGTGAGCCAAGAATGTCCAGGCCCAATAGCCCCAAGCCTCCTCACCCGCCATACAGCTGCATTCACCAGAGCCTGTGGGGCCATCTTCACATTCCTGCAGCAGGAGACGGCTTGCAAACAAAGGGTCTATAAGTTGCTTGGTTGGTTCCTTGATTTGCCATTGGCACCACCAGCTCAATAAACACATTGAATCTGGTCTGCACACTTATAGCATCAGCATGCCCAACGTGCTTAGCTAGCGTAGCCAGGAACCCCCAGCTAGGGAAATGTTTGCTCTCACTAATTGTGGTGAGGTTGCCAGCGGACTCAGTCCATTTGGGAGAGAAGCTGGTCATCAAGTTCACGGCTTTCGACTCAACATGCCGCCCGCAGCTCGCAGCGCAGCTCGCCTCATAGTCGGCACAGGTGCACAAATGCTCACATTGGCGACCGTAGCGTCCAGGCACACAGGCCGTGAACCTGTGAGCAGCCGTGAGCACCACCCCAAAACAGGTGTTTGGCGCTCGGCAATAGCACACCCCCTACAACAGAAAGTAAACACTTTGGGCATGTTTGCTAGCTGCTCGTTTGGCGCCATGTCACAGGCCACCCCAACGTCTTTTACGGTGCGGCCGTCCCTGGGGTCGAAGGCAAAGGTTTCCATGATTTTCCATGTAATTAATTGCAGGGAAAGTTGCCTGTATGCAGCCACTAAACAGCACCAAGAAACAGATCAAACAATTGCGCCAATGTGCAAAACATGCTTGAGAATTGATATATATATATATATGGATATAAATGCCGGCTTGGTGTGGAAGGCCGATAGAGTGCCGATAGAGTGCGACAGAGTGGATGAGGATGAGGATGATGGCGATGATGATGGTGACGGTGACGGTGGTGATGATGATGATGATGATGATGATGATGATGATTTGTTTGTTGGTTTAAACATCACAAACAGTAGGTGGGTCGCTGGACAAGCTCTTACACCCAGCAATTGGCCTTGCAATCTCACGCTGGATATATACAGTAACAAAGCCCTAGCAGCTGCACCTCAGCTGCACCTTCGGTCCCTGATTGGAGGCTGATTCAACACACGTCGGAACATAGACTGCCCATACCCGAATGTACTCAGCTAATGATCAACAAATGATAAATGATCTTGTGTATTCCAGAATCGAAACCACAAACGGAGCAAACATGTGACCAAACAAAGTTTAAACATGTCAATTGTTGGCCCTCCCGATTGCAAAGAGCCCAAGTCACTGCGCATGCGTCACAACCACAGCAAGCCACAAGAGCCGCCATGGCCAGGGATGGAACATCGCAGGTTTGAAGCCCGAGACTAGGGCACTGCACAACAGTTCTACCCAAGTTTTTTGTCACTGAGTCGTTGTGTATGAAGCTAGGCCAGGCCAAGCTAGGCCCAGAAATCTAAAATTCATAATAGTCATATAATATATATATATATATGTGTGTGTGTATGCCATTGCATGCCCAAATTAAAGCAACGGGGTGATCCTTGACGAACTGGGATTGATCGATGGACTACGGCTAAGGGTGGATACTACATGGATTGGGAGTGCTATCAACGTCTCTTCGAAGTTGAGGGGGTCCTCCTGGGTCATATCGGCTTGCAGAGCTCAATGCCGAAGGGATGTCTTGCATGTTCTTTCCTTCACTCAGCTGTGGCCAGACAGTGGTCACACCGTTGCTTGACGTGCCAGGTATTCCCAGGCAAAACTTCAAGTTGCATGCGAACCAATTTCCACTTTGCTATGTTTGGCCCCGGGGAAAGCGCCCTGGTGTAGGGGTCCAATGAATCTGTCATAGAAGCATTCTGACTCAGAGTGGTGGGAAAGCACAAGGCTTCCCACGGCACCAGCGCCCAATGTCCCTGCCTTCCGCGCAGGAAAGGAGGCCTCCTTTCGGCTGGCCGCTGGGTCGGCCGCTTGGTCAACGGTCGCATGAGCCCAGCATGGCATGCGGCATTTGTTCGAGACGTGGTTGGTTCGACCCTGGACTTGTGCATAGTGGAGAGGTACACAGGTCCTCAATTGATCAGCAAGGGAGCACCCGAAGACATCCGAAGACCACCTTTTCAATCGCCCAGTTGCAGCGATGATTTACAAAATCGACGCATCCAGTACCTCGATGCAAAGAATTGTCACAGGTGTCCCTTGAAGCCCATGCATTGGTTGGTCCTTCATGACGAATCCCTTGAGACTAGGAACAAGAAGCCACTAGGAACAAAGGGCATCGCTATTAGGAGCAAGCACGCTAATTGCGAACGTAACTCCTGGCCTTACTACTAACTAGGAGCAAGAAGCTACTAGGGGCTCCTGGCCTTACTACTAGTAACAAGAAGCTACTAGAATCCCTTGAGACGTTGGGAAGACACAGGCCACGACGCGCGCGGTGCCCCTGCGACTCTATGGGCCTTCTGGAGCCTTTTCGTCGCCTCCGACAGCGAGTCAAGGCCAAGGCGCGAGGGGCGACAAGTGAGGTCTCTACGAACAAAGACGCGGTGAGGTTTCTATGCGGGAGGGAGGTGATGAGAAAACTTAAATGTTGGCTGAATTTATTTGAGCAACACATTGCATTCCAACAAAAATAACAAAGGGTGATGGAGCGATTTTCGCATTGGGAGGTGGGAGGTTGGAATGCCCGTCTCGTCCTAGGTCCTAGTAGGAGACGCACACGTGTATGGCGCTTTGAGGCTGGAAGCCCTGGATGCAACAAGTCAAGAAATCGCTAGGTTCGCAGCGCAAGAGATCAAATCCATGTGTTCAGGTCTGCCAGTTTACAGTTTATGTGTCAATATTTTGGAATATGGTAGGTGTGCTTCAAATTGAGTGGACCCCCCAAAATGCCCACAAGGATCAAATTGGTCGCGATTGGTCGGCAGTCCCCTGAACCTCCCGAAACCATGCACATCTTCGCACTGGAAACCAGCACCAAACGAAACAGCAAACACTCACTTTGATCAATGTGCCGTGGGGACTTCGCTGCTTCCTTCAGCTTAACTGTAGATCGGACTCGGACTATTCTTTTGTGACAGGAGCTTCGAAACGGATTGTGCCTATGCCTAAACTAAAGCGAATAGGTGCCAGATTGTATAGAAGATAGGCAGGTTGACGCGCTCAGCTGCCTGTGCTGCTTCATTCCTGTTCTTCAGATTGTTTGTCAAGTCTCAACAATTATTGGAGGAGAAACACATGGACAACAAAGTGCAAATTGAAATTACCGCTGTCTTGTAGGACCCCTTGTTCAAAGCAAACGGGCCAGGTTTCCTCCTCGTACCGTCATGTGTCATCCTCATCCTACCGTTGGCCTTGCTGCTGCGGAAGCCCAAATGTTGCAACTCATCCTGCGTGCAAAATCGGTCCGAAAAGTGCATCTATGATCCGTTGATATCATGTGGATAAAATTGAAGCTTGCTCATTTCGCTGGATAGTTTGCCGTAGTTAAGTCAAATGATTGTCTGTGACCCAAAGACATCTAGAGAATTGCTTTGATGAACGCGAAGCCGCGTTTGCTGAAAAATCAAGTAGAGATTGCAATATCTGAATCAGTGCTGATACGTTTGGACAGCTTACAAAAGATTACCCAAAGTGGCGCTAAATGAAGCTCTCTCAAAAAAACCTTGAGAAGCGCCTCATCCAACAAGCCCATCAGTCTCGAAGTCCCAAACCCTACTCTGGCCCAAAGAATTCCTAGTGGCGTCCTTGCTACTAGTAGCAAGGCCAGGAGCTACTAGCAGCGTCCTTGCTCCTAGTAGCGATGCCCTCGCTACTAGTACGAGTGGCTTCTTGTTACTCTGGTCGGGTCCAAAGAATTCCTGAAGTCCCTTGCCCCATCCATTCGATGGACACATCGATCTCGCATCGATTCTGAACACCGATGATTCCAACGTGTTTTTCTTTTCTTTGCGCTATCGTCGGGATCAATGATCTCACTAAGATTGATATCATCCAGAAAGATTAAATCATTCAACGAATCTTAATGAGAGCTTGACTAAGCTTGACTTGTCGAGTCAAGTCCAACGAATCTTCTCTCCGTCACTAAAAGCTCCCCCCAGATGTTTGCACGGGTCATGGAAGATTCCTCCCCTGAAGGTAAAAACAACCTTGAGTTGCCCCCCTCACACCGTGCCAAATGATTTTGGAAATGAACTTATATATGATTTGTCAAGACCAATCTCCACTAGAAAGGTCTTCAACCAGGAGAGGATCGAATTATCCGACACATCTCTGACTCAGTCACCTGGGTCTGCTGCAGCAAAGCGAGGTCGTGGCGCTTTTGCCGGGCAGCACGGATGAAGGGCGCATCTTCCGCTTCTTCTGCTGGGCATGTGGGCGTGCTTGGACTATATAAAGATGCCATGGTGCTTAGTAAGTACATCCTTCCAGCATGGGAGTCAGCAATCAGTTGGCATGCAGCATGACTGTTCCCCAGGCAGAGAAGACATGAACCCAACAAATAGAACAAAGAGGCAGTCGATTCACCAAATGGTTTCCTCCAAGGAACATGAACGACCAGCAAGCCTCTTGCTAAACTGGGTGTCTTCGTTTTCTTGCTATTTGTTCCAGCAGGGCAGTCCACATGGGAGGCACCCGCCAGTCAATCCGATGCCTTGGGAACTCAAGGAGGCCATCATTGAGTCCTGGACGCTCGCATCAGCGGTGGAGTGGATGTATCCAGGAAGTGTGTCATCCGGACCTGCCTGAACTACACTCCAATTTGCTCCAACCATCATGGCTTGGTGGAAAACCACCTGTTTAGCAGGTGTTACATCTCTCCAAGGGGCCATTGTCCAGTCCCTTCTAGACGGCCTACAAGTTGTTGACAAATCTGAATCAGGAGCCCCCCGTAGAGAATATCTCACCCCACAACAATGATCAAATAATAGTAATTACACTGAAACATCCAGTATCACATCCATTACAGTAATATTCCATGGTCCACTGAAATATGACACTCAAACTCCAATCAAATGAGCCGTTTGAGCCGTTGAGCTTGGCCTGTTGAGCCGTTTGATACCGTCATTGATCATTGATCCATTTTGCTTCGGCGCAGCATGTCTTTGTTGCGCCAGGCTGGCCACATCGGTGGAAACTTTGGGGACCGAAGTTCGAAGCGCATGCTGGAACTCTATGGAACACTCTGAAAATGCACAAAGCAGCTCCAAACTCAGAAAACTCAAGGATTGTAAAACGATATGATTAGCATTGATTAGCTAATGTTCAGCATGTTAGCTGCCTTTGGAGGTCTCTAGTGGCTCGCTGGACCACACCATCCTCGAATGCCGCCCCTCCCCGTGGCAGCAACGACGGCGGCTCCCGCTCGTGGCTACGCTGATCTTGAAGGCTGTCATAGACGCCGTCCAAGCTTCTCAACTTCTCCTGCGGCACCAATTAGTAGAGTCTTGATGTGAAGCCAACCACACGCGAGATGCCGTACTTGGCCGCAGCTTGCTGCAAGAAGGGCGGGCAATGGAACACCATAAAGGAGAACAAGCCATGTTGGGAAGGTCAATCGTGGAAGGAAAACTACCTGTTGTGAACCAGTCCACACCGGGCTTCATATCTTCCAAAGGATTCCGTCATGTCCTGTTGGTAGAAGTCTATGGAAATTTGGATGAGGAGCTTCTGGTGTCGAGTTCTCTGCCCATTGGCCGATCTTCCTGAAAGCAGGATGCTTTAAGAAGGCGAAGTATTGGTGCACCAGCAGCCGCGGAGCCAAGATTGCTGGCTGGGCCAGCAGCTGGAGATGGTCCGACCATTACATTCGAGAACAGCATCTTAAAGTTCATTTACAGTATATATATATAAAGGTATGTAAAGGTCATGTGGTTGACTGAAGCTGCCACTGCCAGGCTTGTCCAGATGTAAACTTACACCTTCTGAACAGACTCCTTGCCTACCAGTTCTCTGCCAATTCTTTTGCTGGTGCCTCATGCCAACTCTAGTACCAGGTACCAGTTTTTCAATGACAGTGTTGCCTTGTTGGAACATGTTGGACATCCACGGGAGAGGCCTCATGGTGTCTAACTATCTGAAACGCAGATTCTTGGGTACAAACATCCCCTGACATACTCATGTTACTCATGCAGCACGTTGGGCAATACATTTGAAGACTTGAACCACCTAAAGTCACGCAACATCGAGAGATGGTCAAGGTTTACTTGTCTTATCTTGTCTTGAATTGTCTTGAATGGGCGTGAACATGTTGAGCAAGCAACCCTCCCCTTCCAACCTCGTTGGCAAGTAGCATCTGTTCTGGAGAGTTGGTGGTGCTGCGTGCCATACGACGCAGGGCCTTGCCAGACCGGCCAGCTTGTCAATACTGAAGTGATGTCACTGTCAGAGTGGTTTCTTTGGATTGTCTTCAGGTTCTCGGCAAACTCTACAAAGCTGGGCTGAGGGTGTGAGTGACTGGCCATTCTCGTGGAAGTAGGCAGCTTAGCAGGAACCCTGGATGGGAACTGCCAACAATTTAGAGAGACATCATTAAACAATAAGTACACATTTACATTTCTGCAATTCATACTTCACATAGCAAAGCCATCCACGGGTCTAGGGCTCACTGATCCCACCACACACGCGGCTCGCTGACCTTGTTTGCCACCGTGTGCCTCCAAATCCGACTCTCACCAAATTCCCCACCTGTCGCCGCTGCAGATCCAAGCGGTTGAGGTGATGCCTGGGCCATGTCAATGTGCCCACAGAGTTAGCCAGACTTCTAGGCCAGACCGGTTTGAACGGTCGAACATGAGAAATATGTTAGGCAACCAGGTCACCACAAGGTGATTCCATCCTGTGGACACGTGACCAGAATCCTGGCAAACCAAAATTTGGTAAGCATAGGCATACTACCTACTTGGCTGTCCATGGGTGTTTTTGATGGATTATTCTTCTCCAGGGATCAAAGCTAACGAAAGTCTAAAGCTCCGAACACAGCTAAAGTTAAAGAACAAAATCTTGCTATTGTACATACGACGGCCCGCCGAAAAATACATGCTGACAAGGCTGAGGCTCTAGAAGCTCGACCAATTGGCGGACACCAAAGTGGTTGTTGTCTGCGTTCTCAACAGGGCGGTCTGAACGTATCCTGGTCAGCGGAGTCGTCTTAAACTCGGCGAAGCCCAGCCCGCCTGTGTCGATTCACCAGCTTCCCCTCGTTGGCCTGCAAAAGGCCTCGCAGGCGGTCGATCAAAGCAGTGTTTGAAGTACGTATATACCGACTGGGAATAACTCATGATGAGCTCAGGAAGAACTGGACAATCAAAGAGGGGGTATCCCTTCTTTTTTCGGAAATTTGCGAACTTGTAATTATCAAACCACTCTTCCAACATCTTGAACTGCCCTTTGAGAATCTTGTGTTTAGCAAATTCCGGTTTACTCAGGATGGCATCATGGTTGGTATTTCACGAGGTACAATATGTTTCAGTCTTGAAGCAAATCCTCCGGATAAATCTGCAAAACCTCATGGAACATGGTAAAACATGGCACATCTCGATCGTCCATGCACCTTTCGCCAGCGACAGCACAAGGCTCGCCAGAATCCAGCGCATCATGGTCAATGGTCCTAGCCACGGCAAGTATATCGTGGGTTTATGATGGTTTATGCAGATAGTGTGTGCATATTTATCTAAACAGTATATGTACACATGTATATACACATCAATAACATGCATAGCGACCTTGTCTTCCTCTGCTGTGTAGGCGATCCTACACGGTTACATTGAACTGACAACCGCAAGGTCCATCAAGGTACCAGTAAGCCAGGAATTGGCTCGGCTACTCGGTTACCACTTGTGGCGAATTTGAAGCGGATGTGGATGGTTATGCGCAACCATTACGACAACGATTGTGTTTTCTTTTTCTGCACGTCAAACGTTGCTCAGTAAAAACAACACCTGTTTGGTTCTCAGTGGTGGTCTCCTGTCATTCTCAGAAAGTAGGCACAAATATCCACACTTTCAATTCGCAAACAGGGCTCACGTGACTTGCCCTGACGGTGCTCCTGAGGTTCTGGACCTTCCAAAGGTCACTGATCACTACATTGTCAGCTGAGGCTGGAGATCAGCTGCGGAGAGATGTCAACCGTGTCACGCGAATGTCACTGGTCTCCGGTTCCCTGGAAGGAGATTGTTTTCATTGTATCAAGTTGTCTTAACTGATCAATATGTCTTCTGGCATCATCTGGCCAATTTCATCCAATTTCTCTGTATTTTGCCGGCCAACCTTTACAACTGCTTCTCTACAAAGGCGTGCACATAAAATATCATCATCATCGATCTCTTTAAACATGCCGGGCAGTGAGCCAGGACACCTTGGAAGGAATCCAATAATCTAAAGGCTCACAAATCCCTGCCCTTCCAATGATCTCGGGATATGGGAATCAATGTTGAGAACTTCTCTATATCGCTTGAGCTACTAATAGTTGCTTTCACTGTTGCTTTCAGGAGCCCAGCCTTCCACGCAAATTGTGTGGCTGGATTTCCCGTTGGATCTCTGCAACGACCGAATCTCTCTAGGACTTGAGAAGCGCAACAAAACCAATGTCGGACCGATGTAGTTGCCTCAATCCCTTCGAGAAACCGAAAAATCCTAACACATTGCCATAGACATGTCCCAAGGCCCCGATTCACCAGATCACCCCTTTTGCTCATTCCAAGCTCTCCAGGTCGACTTTCTCTGTCCTGGAGGCCATGTTGACTCGGGGGCGAACATGTCAGACCTAAATTAATTCTGGTCTGCCAAGCAAGGAATGGTAGTGACTCGACTCTGCAATCAACAATCATGGAAGTGGCGCCTACAAAAGGTGCTTCAGCGCCAACAATTGTTTTTCCACCAAATGCCACACCATGCCACTCCGTGCCACACCCCAAGCCACCAATCTCTGAGAAATCACTTGAACTCATGTTTTTGGCAACTCCGTATCTGAGTTTTGTCACGTCGCCTTTGCTTCGCTGAAACCTTCAAGTGCCAGAAAAGCAATCTTAATTTTAATACGAAGACAGGATGCCACTCGCAGCTCTCTTTGTCCCTATTCTCTTTCCTCCTTGCGTAAGAACACAGTCGACCAAAAATGTTTCTGGCCTGGCGTTGCCGGTCTGAGCCTCAAGCAGGCCCCATGCGGGGGTGAAAACTCATGCCATGGCAGCCAAGAAAGGCCAGCAACTAAAAAAAAACACTCCAGTGTGGTCGCCTAGAAGAGTACATCCTGTACATACTGAGAAGTGCAAAAAACAAAAGAATCAAAGGAAACACCAAATCTTCCGTTGGGGAGGTCGACCCCCTTGAGCTGTGCACGATCACACGCGGCCAGGACCTGGCACGGTGGTGATGTTATGAGTAGTGGTCAACGCTCAATAGTGCCGATTGTGGAAATGCTGCAAATGCTGCAAGATTGCAAACAACTGGCCAACAAAAGTGCTTTTGCAAAAAAGAATCCCTTGTGGCCCTTGTTTGCAAATGAAGTCGCATCGGCCGTACAGCTTGTCACCAATGACATTTTGAACATGGGAAATTGGATGAAAGACAATGACTACCCGCATCTCCCACCCAATCCCTTCATCTCTGCAACAAACTGCAAGCAGAAACAATACTACAGTGTGTTGCTGCTCATCTGGAACTCTCTGGTGTTTTTAACTTTACCTCAAAAAATACTGTCACGCACAGGTTTTGAGCCGGATCCGAAGGCTACTTGTCTGTGCTTGTGTTGTAACCACCACCCTGCCACAACGTCTGGGTTACAGTAATGTGAATCCCGGATCCCATCTTCTATCCTGGGTTGGGCGGGGTTACTACTTAGATTGCTTAGTGACTATTCAAACGATGCAAATACCCTCGATGGTGGCCGGCCGACGGACGTTCTTCACGTTGCGACCTGCTGGAACTGCCCAGCGAGCTGAGCTTTGCAAGCTTGGCATTGGCCCCCTGAAGCTGCGTCTGCAACCCGCGGTTGGCAAATGTTTGCGGGAAACCTTCAAAACTGTTTGTCAAGCAAAAGCTTTCAATGACATTTTTGCATAAACCTGAAAGGTTATATACATAATTAGATAGATTCCATAAAATGATGCTACACATTGTGTCAGTGTAGAAGCCCACCTAGTAGATGTTGCTGTTAACACCCATTCACTGGTTCTGAAGCCACATATACGTACATGACAGTGAATGTTTATCCACACCGTGCGGGGAATGCACATCATAACTATATCCATGGAAACCTCACTCTCTGTTCTGGCTCTTGAGCCAAAATGTACAAATGTAGACTATGTATGATGATAGACGTGCACCCAAGCCTGCCCTAGACTCAACACTCCAATAACCAATAAGGATCCCTGTTGAAAGTTAGGCTTGACGTTACTTAACGTTTGCCACTGACTTTGTAGTAGGCCCATTCCAACCTCCATTCCAACCTTGGCCGGATGGCGCGTATCCTGACCCTTCCGGGCGCCTCTGGAGCAGTGTAATCCTGCACTTGCCAGAGTAAGGGCGAGGCACACGGCAAGGCCCGATCCAGAAAGCGAAGGAGAGTCAGGTCGTCGCTGCCCCAGCAGACCTCATGGCCACGCACTAGCCAAAAAGACCGAGGACAGGAGACCCTTGAAGCCTTGGTCTGCCACCGTCAACAGGTTGACGATTTGAGAAGGTCCTTGACTATCTTGACTAGCCAAGGAATAGAAAGGGCCTCACCTTTCGACTCTTCGAGGACAGTGATCGCACAGGAGGCCCTACTTTCATGACGGGAGTCCTTTGTCTTGGAGCTGCGAGTGGGGTGGGATCATGAGTATATTGAAAATGTGTAAATGGGGGCTTGCACAGGGAATTTGCACTTCATGGAACATCTCAAGATCGAAAGTTAAACGAACACAAATTCAAGCTCCAAACCTTCTTACGAGCCATCTTGTTTGGGGACCTGTGCATCGGCCATCAATTGGAGAAACACACACACACACACACTGTGACTCCCATCATGCTGAGGACCCAGGCTGCCTGGCACTCAGCTGGCATGAAGCTGGCAGAGAAAGACCACAAAACGCTGGCCACCAGGGAGTCCATAAATGACTCCTCCGACCAGGGGTGGGCAACTCGCTATTGCGTGGCACTACGTCTTGCCGGACATCCACCAGAAGCCATTCGGAAACTGCAGCTATTCAACTTCAGGTCAATGCGACATCAGCCTGAGACTGATCAAGCTGAGAATTCTTTTGGAAAAGACCTGAGACTCTGATCCTTCAACGGGTTTCAACTCCAGGCGGTTGATCGTCCCTGTCAGAAGGCGTCCCACCGTCCCTCCTCCAGGAAGATCTTCGCCAGGCGATCCTCAGCTCAACGGGCTGGTACGGTGGAAGAGATTGGTTGACCGATGTCAAGTGAATCTATGATTGCTCTACTTCAAAGTCTATTATTATTGTCAGGGCTCGGAAGGGCAGCGCCTCATCTGCGCACACAGATTTGGCTCATCTGCGCACACACATTTTGTTAGCACTTGCGCCTCATCTGCGCACACAGATTTGACTCATCTGCGCACACAGTCCATGGGGGAGACTCAAGTGCGCACACAGGCCCTTTCCCGGATGTTTGCTTAGTTAAAAGGGTCGTCAAGATGGAACGGCCACTTCCTCCTCTAAATTTTACCCTCGGGTGGCTCACCAAAGGGTGAGTCAACTTGGAATGACCACTTCCTTCTCTAAATTTT